CACATCGATTAAGTATGTATGTGTATAGATATGTATGTATCTATATGTATGTGTATATATATATATATGTCCGGGGGGTGGGGTGGGGTGGGGTGGTTGGATGGTTGGGGGTTTGGAGTTGGTTTAGTTGGTTTAGGCTTTAGGGTTGGTTTCGGGTTGGTTTATGGTGGGTTTAGGGTGGGTTTGGGCTTCGGGTTGATTTAGGGTTAGGGTTGGGGTTAAGGTAGGGGTTGTAGGGTTGGTTGGTTCAGGGTAGGATGTTGCGAGAGGTGCTGGGGTGCGGGTTCACGGAGGGGGGGGGTTGGCGGCCTGGGACTGGAACATATATATATATATATGTATATGTGTGTGTGCGCCATTGTCTTCTGAAATTTGGGAGGGGCAACTCCTTCTCGTACTCCCCAAAATATGGTTTGCACAGGAATAGTCAATCAGGTTGGGATGGGGCCAGTCTCAATAATTAATGGGTGTTCAAAGGGAAACCAAGAGAAACGCAACCTGTTTTAGGGCCTTCTGTTCAATGGCAGATCGAGTTCCCCATGGAATGATTAGAACATCAGAGCATCACCAAAACAAAAAAGCCCACTGAAAAGATGTCAATCGCAACAATACAAGCCTGAACACCACGAGTACTCAGCATCCGACATCATGGCTCACACTTCCACTCCCTCGTACGTCCAAAGGGGCGAGAACTGACTGACTTGCCTTTAGATAGATACCTTTTGGCTTATAAAAAGGGCCCCAACAAAAACGGGAAAAGGGGGTGCGAGGCAGGGTCTGGAAATCAGAATTGGCACTCTAAAGGGAACCCACCAAATTTGCTGCACTTTGGGGTCCTTCGTGTTCAACCAAGCAGCTTTGAAAGTTGCCACGGGGTCGATCCACTTGCCACTTTTGCCCCCCTCCGAAAGAGATGCTACCATATGCTACCCTAAAAAACACCTTCTCGTGCAAGCTAAACCATTATCCTTCTCGGGCTCAGGATCTGCTGATTTTAACCAACTTGGGCTATTTCAAGGTAGAAGTACGGTTTTGGAGGGTTCGCAATGGAACATCTTGGCAACCAATTTCAGCCCCCGATGTTCGGCCACATCCGTGCGGGGTCCGTGCGCCGTTTTTAGAATCTCCTTTAGAGGTTTGTCAAAATGGGTTGAACACCGGCAAACCCGGCTTTCCTGTTGTCCCTCAAGTTTCCCCGGCCCCAGACCACAGGACCCCCCCCCGACCCATCCCTCTCGCCTCAAGTGACTGGCGCGCGGAGGCTCCAGACCGAGGGCTCGGATGCGGCGAGCTTTCTCACGAAGGATTTCGGGGTCTTCGTCCTGCGGTCGTTGGGGCATCTTTTTGCTCAGGCTCGGTACCCATTTTGGGGAGTTTGCTTTTTGAGGGACCATCCAGATTTGAGGTTCCCCCTTTTTGAGACAATCCCATTGGCCTCGTGGTCCATTTGTTGCATTGAGTAATTACCCAAAGCTCAAAGACAAGCCAACCAGGGCTCCAGCCAAGACTTCTATTGAGACTGACCATCGGGGGTGATATCTTTTGGGGACTCAATCACCCCTCGCGCGGATCAAAGTGGAACCGCTGGCTCCACAATATTATATAAGTACACCTCCTTCGAAGCTATCGCAGAAAGTTAGGTTGGAACCATCACCAGCAAACCCCGCATTACGGGCGGGAACACGAAGCGCACAAAACAAACGCACTCAAGAGAGTACCCTCTGGATTACAAAGAAACAACGCAAAACACCCAGAGGCAAGCAAAACAACGCAAAACAATCATGCTGACTGACTCACATCCTTGAAAGGAACGGAACCATGTCCCAGCTGAGGCCGCGAATCGCCCCAATGCTTTTTGCTGGAGACACCAAGTGACGACACATGCCCCAATGGAAATTTCAAAGAAGCATGGGAGTGACTGACCTCCTTGTCCAAGATTCTGTGTTTTTTTTTGTTTCTTGTGGGGGGGGGATTACTCGAAATTACGTTTTTGGAGGGTGGGCTTCCTTCTCCCCACCATTTGACGTACAAAGTGCCGCTTTCATGGACTCAGCACGATCTGCAGCAGTAGCTTCAATTCACGAATGCGCAAAGACCTAACATCATGGGAGCAATCACTCGGTTTACCCACAGGTGAGGGTTTGACATGCAGGATGATCGGATGATCTGAGGTAAATAATTGGCAAGTTGCCAGGCGAGCGATTGGCAAACGTAAAGGAAGCCTTAATTCAAAAACTCTCCTCGTGAAACAAACAACTTGGGAATCCTTTGTTGGAGTTCGTTCGGAAGGTGGCCAACCCTACAATTTGAGCAACTTAACATGGCAATACATGAGCCCTCGCATGCTGGGAGCCCATGTTCTTTCTAAACCGATTACTGATTGGCCGGTGTACTGCTTGCAAATGATCAATTTTACAATATCCCTAAAGGACATTCCTAGTCCAAAGTTCCCCGTCCTTCCCCAATTTCTCATTTCTGTGGCGTGTTAGCGTGTTTACCGACTGCAAAAAGAGATTGAAATGCCGTGCAATGTCTTTATGAAGGGCTGCCGTTGCAGTGAGAATCTAGTTCGATCCTGGTCATCTCCGGAGGCAAAGATGCAAAACACACATTTCTGGTCGTGCAAGGGGATTCCTCTGGACCCTTCAAGAGGTGCCCCCTAAGAGCCTAAGACAGGGGAAAAAGGCACAGTCCCAAACTACGAGACTCCTTCAAAAGCCAAAGCTTTGCACACGCTTGCCCTGCTACCCGGGCGATACTTGACTTCCAGTGGCAAGGTACAAGGACGCAATTAGATTTCGGAGGGACAAGCAACACAAATACGAAAACGGGTGGAACCCGCCGAACAACTCTATGGCGCTGACCGGCTGACCAGACCGGGATCCGGTTGACCGTGGCCCCGTCGACCCCGGTCAAACGGTCAACCAGCCGGCTGGGCAGGGTCGGCCCGGTTGCCCGGTGAATTGGAAGGCACGTGATGGCACGACGTGTCACCGCCCTCTGGCCATTTCTTCAACCGCAACATTTGCCGGGTGCTGCAAAGGGGTATCGGTGATGAACAGCCAATCTCTCCGCCCAGAAGCAACCTCAAATGAATCCTGGCTTTAGACAGGGTTTACCCGACATGATTTAAGCTGGACCAGAAACCTATCTGGTTCGCCTTGCCCTCCCGCTCCTGACGTGCCACCATGAAAAATCTGCTCGCATGCAAGCGAGATGCCGCAAAATCCTGGCAGGAGAGTCGACTTTCGTCAGCTCTTGCGTATAGTCCGAAAGGGGAATGTAATTCCAAAAGCACCACCGCAAATAGCTTTTCGGATTCGCAGTGATTCGTTATAGCTTCCTTTTCATCCGACCATCTAGTTCCGACACATGCTCATACATCGCCGTGACCAAATCATGGGTGATCAGCAAATCTGTTTTCAAGCAGCTTGGGGTTGCGGGGTTGGGCAGTTTCATTCTCGAGGCAAGGCACGGAGCTCCCTCGAAAGGAACTTGCCAAGCAAGCAACGTGAAGCACGGTTGGGAAGCAAGCAAAGCAACCAACCAACCAAACAAACAAACCAGAGAGAAAAAAGAAAGACAGACAGACAGACAGACAGAAAGAAAAAAATAACGAAAGAAAGAAATAAAGAAATAAAGAAAGAAAGACACGAAGAAAGAAAACAGAAAGAACGGAACAAAGAAATAATGAAACAATGAAATAATGAAAGAACGAATGAACGAAAGAAAAAAAGAAAGGCAAGAAGACAGAATGAACCAATGCAATAATGAAAGAAACAAAGAAGGCAATAAAAGAAAGAAATAAAGAAAGAAAGAAGGACATAACGAAAGAAAGAAGGCAATAAATAAATAAAGAAAGAAAGAAAGAAGATAAAGAAATAAATAAAGAAAGAAAGACATAACGAAAGAACAAGACAAATAAGACATAATGAAACAATGAACAACTAAAATAACGAAAGAACGAATGAAAGAGATAAATACATAATGAATGAAAGAAAGCAGAAAGAAAGGAAAGACTGAACCAATGAAATAATGAGATAATGAAAGAACAAATAAGCAAAATAAATAATGACAGAAAGACAGAAATAAAACAAGAACAACATAATGAAACAATCAATCAATCAATCAATCAATCAATCAATCAATCAATCAATCAATCAAATACTGAAAGAACACATGCAATAAATAAAACAATAAATAAATAAATAAATAATGAATACAATACAGAAAGCAAGAAAGAAAGAAAGAAAGAAAGAAAGAAAGAAAGAAAGACAGAAAGGCAAGACCTGCAACGCAGGCAGCAAGCGAAGCCAGCAAGCAAGAAAGCAATAAAGCAATAAACAAGAAAGCAAAACGGCAAGCAAGCAAAACAAGGCGAGGCAAGCAAAGCAATGCAAAGCAAGGGAAAGAAAAGCAACGCGACATGGCAAGGTCATGCATAACCCGTCCTCCTGATAGACTCCGCCCATGATGTCACGTGCTCTGCTTCGTGAGAGGTAAGCAACAGGCAGCAGCCCTTTTGAGGTCAAAGCTCTGCGGGTTGCCGACGACGTGATGCAAGAATCAAAGACTTCACCACCCTTTGAAGATAAACCCCAAACAAGTAGTACATGAGATCAAATCAGCCCAAAAAAGGCTAAGTGATCCACTGTAGCAATTGTTGTCATGGTTGTTCAAATGGGGTCGATGACCATTCCTGCCAACCCCGAGCAAAAGAGGGTGTTGCCAAATACATATATATATATATATATATGTAAGCTGAAGAGCATGACAGGTGTAGAGCAGGAAAAGCAGAGCCGGCCTGTCCACTGTAAACGAACTTCGATTTTCGTGGACCTGAAAGAAGGAGCTAAGACAGGGACCTGCCTCATTGGTCCGGAGGCCCTGTATCAACCCTGACTTCTCTGTTCACCAAAAGTGGGAAAACACAAATCCGGAATATCCCTCGCACTGTACCCGGATCTCTTGCTCCCCAGTCTGAATTCCGTCTCAGTCACCGTCTGCTTGGGCATGGATGACGCCCTGGCAGAGAATTGACAAAGCTTGAAGTGGATTACTCAAGCCGTCTCCAATGTCCAAAACAAACAGCCGCTGTTGGAGACTTTGGTGTTCGTTTCATGTCAACTTGTAAAAGGCCCCAGAAGGGGGTCCATGCTTCACCACCCACATGCTGGAAGTTCATGTCAGCTATGTGATTCGCCACCGCAACCGCAAGCCAGACTGGAGTCTGCCCTAGGCTAAGTCAAAGTGTCGCATTCAACAAGAAAGCTTTGCTGACAGCCTCTGCGTTGCATCGCGTGGCAAGTGCTATCAGCTCATATGAGCATGTGTACTGCCACTGTGATGTGTATCCTGACATGAATTAGACAGGCGGACACACAACCACATTCGGGTAACAAAAACACAAAAACACTGGCGCGGAAACACACATACACACACACTCACTCACAGGCAAGCAAGCAAGCAAGCAAGCAAACAAACAAGCAGATAAGCAAACAAAAGCTAACAAGCAAAAGCACCATACCGATACATCAGCATGCCAAAATGCCAAAAGACAAGCACACAACAGCGTGCACTCAAACACAGAAACGCGCAAACGCACAAACAGGCACAAACACGCGCAATCACGCACGCGCGCACGCACGCACGCACGCACGCACACACAGACACAGACACAAACACACACACGTACACACGCACACACGCACACACACACACAGACACACACACACACTCACACACACACACACTCACACACACACACACTGACACACACACACACACACGCACAAACACGCACAAACACTCACAAACACGCGCAAACACGCACAAACACACACCAACACACACCAACACACACACAAACACACACACACACACACGTAGACAGAAATAAACACAAACACACAGACACAAAACAAAAGCGCACACACACACACACACGCACACACACACACACAAAACACACACAAACACACACGCAAACACACACACACACAAAAACACACAAACACACACACACACAAACACACACACACACACACACACACACACACACACACACACACAGACACACACACACACACACACACACACAAATAAACACAAACACACACAACACAAAACCACACACACACAAACACACAAACACACACATACACAAACACGCACACACACACAGAAACACACACAGACACAAACACAGAAACACACAGACACACACAAAGAAACACACAGACACACACAAACATACACACATACACATACACATACACATACACATACACATACACATACACATACACATACACATACACATACACATACACATACACATATATACACACACACACACACGCCCACACAAACACGCACACGCACACGCGTACGAGCACGCGCACACACGCACACAGACACAACCAAATAAACTTTAATTTGAACAATCCATTTGCGATTCGCTAATTTGCTTGTTGGTTTGAGTTGAACTATCCATCTATCTTCTCATTTGCTTGTTCGTGACCCAGCCAGTTGTCGAAAAAAAGGCCACAAACATCGCAATCCCGCAATGAAACTGTCAGCACCCAGTGCCCTCCGAGCCGCGCACGTGGCAAAGGGTGGCATCGTGTCGCTGGTCACTACCTTGGCAATCAGAAGCTTCGGGCAGACTGATCTGCAAATACCTAGTGGTTGCATGTACCCATATATTGAGGTTTGGATTCCCATTTACCCTCTACACCAAACCCCAAACCACCAATTGAGGGATACCTGCAATACCAGATCAGGATTTTCTGAAAGAATTCAGGGCCCCCCGCTGCCAAGTAGGACTTGAAGCGCTCCAGCAGCACCTTGTCCCCATCCAAGGGCATGGCAGACCTGAAAAGAGCGCGCAGCTCGAACATGACATGTGGCGTTCGGATAGATTTGCGTCCGGTGTGTGGTTTCTGTCAATCCACCCACTCACCCACCCAAAGACAAAACCCAACCACAAACACGCGACTTTCAAGGAAGGAACCTTCATCACGAGAGGCGCAAAACCGGGGTGGTCACTATACTTTGGCCACTTGTGTCCTGTTGCTCTTCGCTTTTGGTTTTTGCAGGCCATACCTGCTCCTATTGAAAACCGGGCAGTAGTGTGATGGTGCCATTGGCCCTTGGAACTGGACTCGCGGCTTTAAAGGAAGACATGAACTGCGGATTTCTCAACATGTCGCCAGCAACCGCACCGCCCGTACGCAGTGAACATTTCGCCATTGATGGACAAAGCGTAGCTAGTCCAGGCTTCTGGCGTGTGGCGAAGTTCCAGCTGGTTCACATGAATCGATGCGCGAATGAGACCTACGAGTGACGCAAAATGACGCCAATACCAGCGGCCGGAGCAAAGTCACCCACAAGCAAGCGAGGGAAAACATCACTTCGAATCTATAGAAACGCTGGCAAATCCTGAGAGGGGAGAAACAATGAAACATGAAGATCACAATTCCTCGTGACTTACCTTCTCCCAGTTGTTCAGTGACCCTGCTAGAAAAGAAAGGACGCTTTTTTGGGTTGACGATCTTAGTGGGGAACCCACCAAAGAGGGGACGAACCTGGACGGACAGCCAGGCCACATATTGCCCTCTTCCGGATCGTAGGCGAAAATGGCGTCCGCTTTCGCCACCAGTAGCGCCTGCAGCCCGGTGCTTAAATCCTCGACCCAGGCTTCCCTTTTTCCCCCTTCGGCTGGCTTCAACAAAGCACCTCTTGGGCCGATTTACAGCGAGCTTCCTTTTGGGCATGCGAGGGGAGAAATGTCGGGAGCCCTTCCAGCGGCCGTACACTGGGCACTAACAAGGAACAAAACGAGAGAACACACCACCGGCCGTTGGAAAAAGTGGCCGGTCGCCCCTCGAACTTGCCCAAGTTTCAAGGGAAATATGCAAGGTCCCCACTTGCGCACCCTTGGCAGTGTCTCCAAACTAGGGACCCGTCTAAATGGCTTTCATATTGACATCCCTATGGAGTGGACCGCGTTGGACCAGCACCGGTTCCCTAGTTTGGGCACAGCCCTGGATTTGTCTCATAGAAGAATGGGTTCCTTTCGTTTTCCCAGACATAGAGGGCTCCCCGCAAGCCATGTGATCCTTGGCCCAACCCATCTTGGTAATCCACTCACAATCCTTCCTCTTCAAACTTGGACCATGCACTATATTGCTTGCCTTCAAGTTCGGTCGGAGTTTAAGAGACAGGTGGGAAGGTTCGACCGTATCCCCAAAGTGTTGCACCCCGTTTCGAGAATAGATCGGTGACTATTTGCCAACTGAGGACCACAATGAGGTCTGGGTTCTCAGCCCACAGACCAGCCAGATTGTCCACGCAACGAAACCCGCCACTGAGGCAACCAAATTTGAAGAAAGGCAAAACAAACGTGCCTGGACCTTCAAACTCCGGGAAATTTCTGGGTGTTTTAGGAGACCCCTACGATTTACCGAATTCCAGTGGTTTAGCTACAATTTGGGGCAAACACACATACGAATTGCGTCGTTTCCAGTCGCATGTTGGCCATACAAAGTAAACACACCTCGCAGCACTTGCCAACGTGCCAGTGAACACCATGGGATGCCTTGGTCATCAAAACTACGACTTTTTCTGACTTGCTGGAGTTTGCGGGTTTTTGTGGAAATGTGCGGGCGTTTTGAGGTCAAAATGGGTACGTTTTTTCTGCACCGCACAACTTTGGACCGCCGTTGCATGTTTTGACAAGCTTGCGGGCTGCATTGAGTCGTTTACCCCTGCAAAGCTTCCTTTAATCTGTCAAAGGCCGCGGCAGTGCAATAGTGTGGTTTTTAGGAGTTTTAGGAGTTTCAGGTTTTTGCGGCAAAAAGTGCTACGATTTCCCGAATATCCAGTCAAAGGCGGAAACTACGTTTTTTTTTTCAGGAGGACGAAGGTCCAGGTGGCAAACAAAACCTTCAGGCCTCTGCAAAAACTTAACCCGTTCATCTCTTAGTGACCACAACGTCATTTGCCAAAAGTTAAGAAGCAAGCAAGACAGACCAACTGCAAAGCGGGAAAAAAGGGCCACTGAAGGGAAGCAACCCACCAAAACGCCACTGGGTTCATGCGAAAGCCTACACTGCGTGCGGTCGCTGGGGCCGGCGCGTTCATGCCCGGAAAGGCGCGGGCACAACTGGGCGAGGCACCACCCGCCGCATCCAAGTTCAGGAGCCGGATCTCCTGACCGGACAAGAGCATGTCCGTTCCACTGCCAAACCACAAGTTGGATCAATGACGGTAGAAAAAGGGAACATGTTTTCTTCCGGCTTGGTTGACTGCAAGAGGGCAGACAAACCGAGGGAACGGCAGGTGCCACTGAACCACTGGTGGCTTCCCTCGTTTTCTTCAGTTAGTCAGAAGTGACATGGAAGTCACCCGTCGAGTCTAGGCGCTGCACTTGCCACAAATGTGTTCATGTCCGCTACGGGACGACCGCGACGACACCGTCACGGCAGGGTCATTGCAATCAAACAAAACACAATGCAACTATGCAGTGGACACCACGATGGCGATTAAGCGGCGGCACCAAAGCAATACACCGCCGCTACAGAAGCAGGAGCAGCAGCAGCAGCTGCAGCAGCTCCAGCACCACCAGCTCCAGCACTACCAGCAGCAGCACCACCAGCATCAGAAACCGCAAAAGAAGCAAGGCTAGCAACAGTGGCGAGACCTGGGCGAGATCCTAGCCGGTCCCCCCCCCAGAAAATGGTTGTGGCCAGCAGTGAACTTGCAAATCAATCTGTGCCAGAGGTGCTGGGAGGACCAGACACAATGGAACGTGCATGTTCGCTTAATGGATGCACCACGAGGTTTTACAGGTAATGTACAGGCATCATAGGCATCCACAGAACACAATGAAATGATTTTGCAGGCACAATGCTGATGGAAAACATGGTTGACATATCCAGCACAATCAGGGACAATGGCATGGCATGGGTATGCTTGTTTAATGCATATAAAACCCCAACCAAATGTTTCTAAGATAATGTAGGCGTCCACAAACCGGAATGGATTTTGGATGAGTCTGCAGGTGTGGCACGTGACACACATCGCTGAAAGAAATTACGCTGAAGTGCCGCAACAAAGCGCATGTTTTATGCATGTTGGTGCCGACGCGAATCTGAATTCATTGGATAAACATCATGCGAAACAGCGGAACGACCGTTTTTCGTGGGACTGCACGCGGAACGAATCCCAAGGGCTACAGTTGGTACCTGCCAGTTGGTTCGCCGAGCAATTGGGACCTTCATGCTCTTTCGCTCGCTTGCCAAAGCAGCTCGTGAGTCACTCCCTGAAGCCGACTGGGAAGCTTCTTGGGCCAGAGTTCTGGATAAGCTTTTCTCTTTAAACAGTGGTTGAGTTCCATCCTGACTTCTGACCCTCTTGAAGCTGACTCACGGGGGGTCCCTAAAAACTTAGGGGACCTCCAAAATGATTGGCGTCTTTCCGGTTTCCCTGACAAACCCAAGGCGGGCCTCAAAAAGAGACACGCCCATTTTTTCCGCAACAGGAACCCACCCATGCTGTCCTGATTCACCACGTTGCTGCCATCCCAGACCCGCCAGGAGCATACGCTCTTGCGGGTGCAAGCGAAGAGGATGACACGCGAGCCCTGGAGCAACGTGCAGCAGGGTCCGTTTGCACCCATTGCCCGTTTGTTCATTCCCAAGAACAGTGCAAAGGTTTATGTAGGCGTTTCTATAACTCCCGTTCCAGGCAAATTTATATAATTACATTAACTTAAAATACGAAGATTGCAAGAAAGAACACATCATTTTGGATGAGGCCGCACACCCTCTTCGTGAGGTAGCTGTGTTTTTGCCGAGACTGTTGGCTCTGCCAACATAGCCCTTGGGAACCCCACACAGCCAGGTAGAAGAACCATTGGCCGCGTTCGCTTTGGCCCGACTCCCCTTGTCCGTCTTCATACTAAGTATATAGACCTCTGTATTCGTCATACTTCCAGGAGGAGGATTGGCCTCCCGATTGGAACCAAGGATATATAAACTGGTTGACTGGGTGTCCCAGTCAGGGGAGCGATCCTTTCTGGGTCATCTAGGCCTCGAAATCTAGTCCAGGTGGCTCGCGTCGCTCCGGAGGCGTCCAAAGGTATCTAGGTGAGCAGCTGCAACACTCGCAACTAAAGCGCAAGGGTTGGGCTCCAAGCGGTGCAACATAGGCGACTTGTCCGTGGTCTTCCTTTGAAACATCAAAAAAATGTGATTTTTAGAAGAACAAAGCAGGCCTCATGACAGCCTGATGGCCTAAGCGGCCTTTTCGCGTGTGCATGCGCACAATTTACCAACCGAACTGCATCGAGGACATCTCACGAACTCCAATTCACCAACATAACCTTGGTCTTACAAGGACCAGCAAAACCAGGGTCCTTCTTGATTTTGATCTTGCTCCAAATGGACATTCGGCCAAAGGCCTGCTTTTCCAGGTCCTGGAAAGGTAAGATAAGCTTGTACGGGGCATTTGCAACCCAGAGCTGAGTCATGGCTTGACTCCCAGCGCTTTCCGGAGACCTGGCGAATCGGGAGTCCCGGATCCCGGCCTGCTCCAGGAACTCGATGGAGGTCACCTGGCAGCTTTGCCAATTTTGCTGGATGCCGTGATCAAACCATGGGTCTCATGCCCACACTGGCTGGCATTGCCAGGGCATCGTGCACAAACAGGATGCAAAACATGGGATTTGTTGAATTTTGGAAAACAAGCACAAGCAATCCCTTTGTGCCGATTGGGTCCGGTCTCCCATCTCTTGGCATCCCGGGCCTCCTGGTTCCCAGCGCCGTCCTGGCAAAGCCGAGAATTCGCCCGCAACTTGCAGCCATCCCTGGACTAGGCCCTGGACCAATCTGGGCAGACTGGGATGCCCTCAGATCCCGAATCCCCTGCTAAAAGTTTAACTTGTGGGTCAAATGGCAACCCAACCACTGAACAATAAAAGTCTAAAAGGTTAAGGAACCGTATGGCTGGGAGCCACCAAGATTAGATTACATTGGACTATGCGTCGGTTAAACCTGAAATCGCAGAATCCAAGTCGACCTCTGCTCTGAAGCTTGGCAAATGTAGTGATACAGGTGCGCTTGCAACCAAACAAGGAGAAAATGACCATGGTGCAAACAGCGTGGAAACACCATTTTGCAGTGCACGCAATCAATAACATGAGTGGCACCACAAAATGCAATGCGCAGTATCAAGTAGGGCCAACACAATGGACCCAAATGTTGAGAAAGGAATTCAATCGATGCTCCTTGTCGGCTCGAAATACCACCTACAAAAGGACCCTTGGTTTTCTCCCGCAATTGAGGGAGATCCTCACCCTTGAATTGCCACCCTTACTCCAACCAATTTAGACCTGAGGCAAACTTGGAGGGGTGCAGGTCATGAAAGGCTCTGTCTTTTGGGGTGTATGGAGTTGCCCGACAGCACCCTCTTCCAACAACCAGGTCAAAGGCTGTGGCTTTCGGGGTGTATGGAGGGTTCCGGAAGACTACCACCCTCTGGGGGGGACAATTTTCAAGTCCACTTTCACGCTTCAGAGAAATCTCCCCAAGGAAGGTTCCTTCTGCAAGTTTTCATGGGAGTATGCCAAAAAAATCAGAGCTCCAAGTCGGGGGCCTTCCAAGGACACATCCAAGCAGCAACATGCTTGAAAAGGATGGTCCAGTCGGCCATCTGGTAAAAGTGATGTTCAAACCTCTTGAGGGGACAAACAGAAGGTTGTGGCGAGCTCTAGGGAGCGTTCAGGTATCCATATCATGTACTTGGGCAACCGAACGAGCGGGCCAGTTGCTGGACAACAGCCAGTGTCCAATATATAGTGTCCCACCTTATTTTTGTTGGCCTGGACCAATAGAATGCCTGGCATGCGACGGCTTTGGTTTAGCCCCCCTCCATCTAGGGCAATGTGGCAAGGTGCAACGTAGGCTTGGGCTTTGGGCTTGGCTTCATTCGCCCGCTCTCGCGTGGTTTCCTGCTTTCCCGCCTCTTGCTGAATAAATCTGATGGCGTTTGCTTAAGCTCAGAGACAAAGCACACGGAAGCGGCTTGCGGGGGCTACTTCTTGAGCGTGCTTGGACGCTGCAGCATGGCTAAGCGGGTTCCGGGGATGTGTCTCCGCACACTTAGCCCTTAAGCGGCATGGAGGATGTTGGAAACACTAACATCGAGTGGGGGTGCAGGGATGAGTCAACGGTGCTGAGGCTGCGAACATTTGCAAGCAACCGTAGTCAATCGAAGAGGGCTCCGGGTTTGTTTTGTTCACGTGCCGAGCCCCAGACTCTTGTCCCAGCTGGATTGGACAGGATCGCCCCAAGATGCAGCTAGATTGTGGCTTGTGGGGCGGGATCGAAGTCGAATCGCGGCCGGATCGTGGTATGCCTGCTAAGCTAGCATCAACCTCGGAACCGGCCGCTCCAAGCAACCTGCTGATTGGGTTCTCTGATGTACGCCTCTCACAAGAACCTCATCACCCAACAGTCTGGGAAACAACATATTATGAGAGTCGGCGTACGCGGGGCTACCTATAGGGGTATCTGACTGATCTCACTGCCCATCGCAGCTCCACCCCAACCCCTCACACCACCCACCCCAGCCCCACCGCAACCCCTCACCCCACCTCCCAACCCAACTTCACACAGAGATAAGGGGTCTCAGAGAAGAATCTGGATTTTAGTTCCCCCAGATGATTGCACTTGGGGCAAGCAACAGATCCAACAAGAACCATCAAGAAGGAAGAAGCAGGGCAGAGTAAAAGGAAGGAAGAAGGGACAGAAAGAAGGAATTTGTACAGAACGGGGCAGAAAGGAAGGAAGGAAGAGAGTGCAAGACATGAAGGGAAGAAAACAGTGCCTGCAAGAAAGCATCAGCAGGAGAAAGAGACAAGGACATGGCAACAACGGGAGAGGGAGGGAACGGAAACAGCAAGAAAGAGCTAACAAACAAACCATAGCAGCAACCAAGAAAGAAAGGAAGCAAACAACTGAACCAATGTTGGCAACACGCTTGGGAATGTTGCACCACTTGTGTGGTGCCAATTTCACACTGTTGCACCACTCATCTTGTCCCTTGCCTCCAAAGTCAATGTCACCGGATAGGGCTTTTCCTGCACGATGTCCTGCAAAATCGCTGACTGCACCGGTGATTGTGGTGAAGCGAGTCACCTGTGATGAGTGCATCTCGGTTGCTTTCTGCTCCCCTGCTAAAAGTTTAACTTTTAGTGGTTTAATGGAAAACCCATTAGTTGGCAAAAAGTTAAAGTCTTAACATCCAAGCAAAATGCACCAAAGGAATGGTGAGTGACCGTGGCAAGGAACGCAGAACTTGAAGAGCACAATCAAGCTGTGTACATGTCAACTTAATGTTATACATTGCACATTCCATCGGTTGCATCACTTTGACCAACAGCGTGTGAGTTTGCATCCGCAGCTCTCTCTTTCTCCTGGGCTCTAAAGAGCTGAAGCGCCGCATCGGTGCCCACGGCAACTAGGCCTAGCACATTTCGCGGCTTGCGCGAACCGGGTTGCGAGACTGCAACATGGAGGCTCGGAGACTCTGTAGGCTCTCGCATGCCTTGTTTTGGGTGTAAGGAGTGGTACCGCAGCTTATTTTGGGAGACCATCATGCTATACCCCCTGTTGGGTTTGGGCAAATTGTAGGGGAAATATCAATTGGGGCCAGTTCCGGGGGGACAACTGGGGCACATGAGGCCTGGAAATTTCAGGAGCCGTTTCCAAGACCAAACCAACGGACTGGGACGCTGGCATTCCTCCACATGAGACGGGAAACCCATGTTGACCATATCCATTCTGATCAAGGAGGCAAAGCACGCTGCTTGGTTCCTGAAGACCCGCCAGGCGCAAATGTGAGAACATGACAAAGAAAAACACAACCGCTGCTTGCGCAGAAACTGCCACACATCTGCGTCCTCAAGCAAGTTCTCTTGCGAACTTCCCAGCCAACTCTAAGCATCTCGCAGTGAGTTACCCACTGACTCGCCCAAAGAACCTGGAAATAGAAGGCTAAAAATTGCTGGAGGAATTTTGACTAAAGACGAAACCATGGATGGAGTCAAAAGGTCAGCTTTGGGCAACCGCGTACAATGTGGTCTCCTGCACAACCAGCATTGGATCTTCTTGCCAAACGCGCGCCGAGCGTGGTAACCAGCAAAGGGCTTTCCATGTTGACCAAATTCCACTCAGAGTCAGACCAGCTTTCTTGCGGAGGCCCAGGCGTCGAACAAAAATCTTGGGGGTACTCTTTTTAGGGTTAGTTTAAAGGGGCTTGTAGTCCTCGCTTTTCCGCTTCAAGCGCCCATTTTCCTGGCAGCCGTAGCCAATGAGCTTCGGGTCACAAAGTTAACTCTGGTTCTTGATGAACACTTGCCAAACTCTGGCAAGAGACACAAAGGATTTCCCCCTCATATTCCGTTTAAACATCACCCGGAACCACGAATAATCCTGTGGATCAGCAGGCGGCATTTGAGATCCCCAACGAGTATTTTTGGTTGAACCCATGACTGCCGTCTGGCTCCTCGGCGTCCGCTGCAGTAGGCAGCAATGCAGCTCGCCTGAGTGAGCCGGTCGGAACCGGTCACTCGCTGTCCTTCAATCGATTGCGAAACAAAACGACACGAATTGTCAGTGGATTTCCCTGCTCAAACTAGCAAAGGTTTGATATGTGGACATACCGTACTTCCCCTCCCAAAGCCAATCCGTGCCGAAGCTGAGATTTAGACCCTGGTGGGTTGGATTGGTCGATTCCCGTACCCCACGAAACTGCACCAAATGGGCCCTTGTTCTTTCCGAATGGGTGGGGTCGCGCTGGTAGCGTCCCAAGAGTCCAAATTGCTAACTGAACTGTGCCAACTCCCACGTTAAATGGATACCGGACATGTCCAGAAGGTCTTCTTGTTGAAAGGCGTGTCCTCAGGGCTTAATGTGAAAGCCTCTTTTCTTTGGGAACTCAGACCAACCATACAAAGGGTCCCTTCATTTTGAGACAAACCCATGTTGGGTCAAGCTGTCAACAAGTATAGCACCCCTTTTTGCACCCTTTTCAAGGCAGTGTTTGTCACAAGGGTTCCAAACTCATTTCCTAAAGGACCCAGAAATAAGAGGTTAATTTGGGACCTGAACGCGTTGGACAAATGCTGTTCCGGTGATCGTATTATCACTGCATGCTCAGACCTTACTAAAAGTGGACCAACATGGGAAAACCAAGAGGTCAAAAGGTCGATTCGCTTCGGGCAAGTGAGACAAAGGGCCCCCGAGAAATCGGGGGCCCCGCTCTCGCGAAACGCGAAAAGTGGTCCGAGGTTCGCGCTTGGCCCTCGCCGCGAGGGAAGACACGGTGGCTGGCGGACCGAGCGTTTGGTTCCCGTTTCGAGCGTCTGAAGACTGCCAGGTTCAATAAGTCTGGCATGGGTGTCTCAAAAATTGGGGACACCTAATTGACATGGGTGTTGGAGAACACCAAAAAATGGTGATGTTCCTTTTGGACAAAAAAGGGCAGCCTCCCAAAAAGACGAGACACCCACCATGGGATTCCGGGGTAAACGAAGAACAAGCAAAGGCGCTCCCAATTTCTCAATCCGAACCGAAACAGCAAACCCAAACTAGGGGGAGGAATTTAGAGTTGCGGCTTTTGGTTCTGGAGTTGGTACCCTCCCACCAATTAACATGGAGGATGTTTGGGGGTCCCTTAAAGGGAAATAGTCTTCCAACACCCCCGAACGTCAGGTTCCATGTTGATTGGTGGGAGGGCATCCTTGGTGAGGTCACTTTACAAATTAAAAATCAAACCACTTATCTTGGGGTGACCTATTTTGAGACAAGCACACAGCCCAAAGCCGCGAGACAAGCGGAAAAACACACCTGGGCAGGGGGTTCTGGACAAAAAGTACACCTTCTGTGGCACTGGGACCGGCCTTACGATTCACCTTTTCGCACTTAAAACGGAGGCTCCAGTCCCAAGCCCAAACTCCCAATCTTGAAGCAACTAGGCCCAAACCTGATGCATTGCCCAAAAAGGCAAGGTCGCCGTCAGGCAAGCACTGCAGGAGTCGCTCCCCGTTGACAAGTGGACCATAAATGATCCTCACAAAGTGCACTATCCAAATTGACCAGCGCATGCAAATGAGTCTTGCAAACTGGAATCGTGCTTCATCAATATCAGCGATATGAGGGTGAAGTATAAGAATTCTCCGAGCAAGCGTGTGCAACAAGGATCCCTCATGACAGGAACCTTCGTGAGTGAAGTCATCACACCCGCGTATTCAGCGCCCACGTGAAACAGGGTTCCAACGTGACACTGCCAAACGATAACATGCACGGATATGTACTCCATCACCAAGTTTAAACCCCAACCCATCACCAGCTTCTTGAATCTACAGCAAATGCAGGGGCTTCCTTTCAGATCCACAGGAGACCCCGCCGAAAAAAAAGACATCTTTCCCTGAGTACAAGTCTATATCCATTGCTTAACAGGCTCATGGCAAGGAAACAAAATGCAGAAATGCGTGGGGTTGGAATTGATGGGCTAAAGGATCTGGGCTGCAACACAATTGAATTTGGCGATAAAAAGGGGTCTGATTCAAAGCCCTGATGATACTTAAGTGGAACAACTGGTTGGATGAATGAGAGTTACCTGCTGTTTTGAACCATCTATATCCTTGTGACTTTCATACGCCAAATCTATACCCTGCAGAGGAAAACAAGAGGCCCAAAGTGAGGTCTGGTTGCATTGGCCACTGCGGGTTTCGTATGATCCCAGCCGACTCCTTGTTGGTTCTTGGCGGCTTTTGACAACCCTTGTGATTTGGGGGGAGGTGTATCTTCCATGGATTTGTTTTACTCCACGAGCCTCAACTAACCCGTGATGAAACAAATACAGCTTGTTCAATGGAACAATAGTATGTGCCCCTGAGGAAGTGCCAGGGGTATGCAGCCCAGTTCAAAAAGAGATGGTTGAGGCAAGTCCCCAACACGGTTCTCGACCCAGCAGCAACTTTGCGAAGCCTCAAACAACTACATACGCTCAAACCTCCAGCGCCCTGGGGACATCACAATGTTCAAGTCATGCAAGGCAACCCCTCTCCCAAAACCGGCCAAGGAAGATTCAGCCACCGGAGGCCTGGCCGGGCCAAGTCCCTGCCTGTTCAGAACCGCCGGCTCAGAGTCGGACGCTTCGATGATCTGACCGAAGCTGCAACGCCCATCCCCCCGGATGGGTCCCGAAACCTGAATAGGGTGATCCCTCTCTGTACATTTCCCTTCCATCCCCAGGAAACGTGTAGGGTCCCTTGGTTAAACATATGCCCTCCCCGACCTTCCAAACATTTCGGGGTGGGGGGGCGCAGGGGTACAGCTCAGCTTCGACATTCCAAAGCAACCCGCAAATTTGGCATGCGGGCTGCCTGAAACTCTCCCGTTGAAATTGCATCCAGGAATCCTTGCATTGTTGTCTGAAGTCCCTATGGGGATGTTGATGACCTCCCGAGCCCAAGTGAAAGAGCGGCTTTCAGCTCGTCCTGTACGCAAGGCGTACAGCTCGGAAAGTTGTCCCCGGAGAAGTTTGGTCCAAAGCGGGTCCGTGCTCCCAGTTTGTCAGGTCTCCTTCCAGATTCACAGGAGGCGTCGTAAACGACATGTCGCCCGCACCAAAAAACCACTTCGACTTCTCACTCGCAGCGCACGAACATTCAGGGAAGCAGGTGTGCAAATGATAGGCCGCTGGCTGACCGGGGGGGACGAGCTCGGTGGCCGACAAGGCTTAAGCAATGTCACCAGGTGCAAAGCTCACTGAGAGCCCCTGACCCTTCAGAACCTGCTCGACCGGAATGGGATTTGGTTGAAGGCAAACATGCAAGCTTGACATCCTGTTCTGTTCGGGAGTTGAGGCTGCGAGGTTGCAAAAAATGACGGCCGGGATGGTCCTTTGCACCATCGGAGAAGGCCCCAAACGTTAAGATCTGGAGGAGAAGGCAAATCGAGCCCATCAAGCCAAGGCATCCTCTCCCTTCCAAAATATGGTGATTCTAAAATTTGGAAGGGCTGGACAATGTTCAACACCAACTGATCGAACCTCCGGGTTCGCTCCTTGTACTTGGCGATGCCCGGCTGCGCAGGTGCACCTAACACCGATGGCCCAAGGAGACACGAGCTTTTTGCGCGTCAGATTCTCCAAACAATAGGGCCCCTTTCTGGAAGCCTTTGACATGCTCCGCCTTCTAAAATAATCGACACAATCTCGTCAAGCGTTCTGTACAAGTTGCGTGCCTTGTTCTATGAGCCTAGGTTGTGGCTCCCATCCCTCTGTGCGGGCAATGTTCAAAATCGAAGATGGCGCCCCAAAACCATGTTAAGTCCACTTCCACAAGTTGGCACTCTAAATTGTTTCCTCGGGTTCGCCAGGCAAACTAGATGGAACACACACTTGTGTTTGTCTGTTGTCCTGCTTGCTTCTGAATCCCCGTGTTCCATATCAAAAATACCGAGGCTGGCTGCTGAATTTTGGCTTTGAGCCGCAAGTTTGGGTGAGATTGGTCTGGGGTTGGCTTAGTGTTGGGTTGAGAGTTGGTTTGCGGTCGGTTTGGGATTTGCGGTTGCTTAAAACAACAAAACTGATCAGGGCATTGGCCCCCCCTTCTTGGGCCCCGGCATTCCATGGATGGATCCCCACTTGACAATATCACCAGAAAATGCAAGTACCTGCTGAAATTCCCACCAAATCTGGCCGACCAGCTGAATATTGGCAGTGGGCCGTGCATTGGCTGGACCCTACCGAAAATGACTCTGACCTATCACATGCCGACCCCTGGATGAACAATGATCATTCATTGGCGTCACGTTAGAAGATTCTCCTTCGGTGGGTTGCCATGAGTCCTTTCTACCTTGAAGGTCGCGATTTTCTCTTCGTACCTGAGAGGACTGCCACTCCCTCCGCCACAGAAGCCTAGGCCCAAAAAATGCGACCCAGATGTCCTAAAGGAGAGCGTACCGAGTTCTTACCAAGTTCTACGATTCTCAAAATCATGGATGCAGATGGAGGAAAAGACAAACTAAAGCGACCGGTGACCAATCTGGTAGCCGTGTGTGTATACTACAGAGGAAAAAACCACGTTTGTTTGATGTGCCCCACTCAAGACAACAAAATATTTGGTGCCAACTGCTTTCAATCACATCTAGAGAATCAAACCACCACCACATGATGCGTATGGAGATCGTGAGAATCAATTTGTCTGCCTTGCAACCGTCCAACCGTTGAATAGCGACGCTCTCAACATGCAAAATCGCCACCCACTTTTAACTCTTTTGTCCCTGAAGCCATGAACCCCGGTGTTCAGTCCTGTCGAGGGCACCCAAGGACAAGGAAAAGTGCACAAGCAACAGTCCTGAAAGCTCATGTTTCACCCAAGTATGCTTTGGGACCCACTTCAAAATCTGCCTTGATATTCATAATGGACACATTGACACATCTTTTTTGATATTCAGAATCACATTTTGCTATTCGTGCAAATGGTTATTTTACGTATTGACATATTTCAAATGTATGTCTCAGCGACGTCACTGACATGAACTCACCGGTGCCCGCTTCCCCCTCGACCCGGCGCCTGGGGCGAAGTCTGTGCCCAGAGCGAAGAGCAAGTCCTTGGCCGCCTTGGAGCCAGCAACTGCCGGAAACTTCAATCAATTCATGTAACATGGAGGTGGTTGTCAAACATGGGTACCAAAACTGGGTTGCCCTGGTACATGGATGCGGTTTCCTGGTGGCTTCATTTTGACCCATACCCACATGTACCGACATTTGACGGGTAAACGTGGGGAAAAACAAATACGTGGATTCTCGGGGATACAACATGGTCAGGGGGCCAGCCCATTCTTTGGAGATACAGGGGGAAAGCAGGGGCCCCTTTGGACCGAGGCTGGTGGGTGGTTCCCTCAGTTTCCTAAAAATGAACCAAAATTGTCCTAAAGGGGTCTGCACACTTTCAGGTCGGTGGGAGGGTAGCTTCCCCATTCTGAGCTCAGGGTAGTCAAGCCCTAGAACTACTGGCCTTCCCAAATGGTTTTGCCGTTGGAACCTCTTTGCAGCAATCCAACAAGCGGGCACCCTCCTCAGAAAACAAGCCAGGACGTGTTTCCTTGTGAATGTACAGGTGCCGCATGCTTGCACGTCTGTGTTCTACATCTCTCTCTGCTAGATGGCTGGATAGCTAGTTGTAGTTATTTGAGTTTCCAGGTAGCTAGCGAGGTAGCTGGTTCAGTAGTTGGCTGGTTCGCAAGTGAGGCAATTCCGTGGCCCTAGCCATCTAGCTAGTTAACCAGCTTGCTATCTAACTTAAGTGGTTAGCTAGATCGAGAGTTGGCCAGTTCGTTTGTTTGCTAACTAGTAGCTAGCTTGCTAGTTCGCTAGCTAGATAGATTGATGCTTAGCTACTTCTCTGAATAGCTATCTAGCATAAAGCTAGCGAAGCCAACTGGCTTGTCGGAAAATTAGTTGGTCGATCAAACGCGCACAGAAAACTGATTTTTGTTGTGGTTGACCATCCGAAATCCTGTGGGTTCCGCGCGCGAAATGCGACACGCAAGGCAACAGGCAACACCGAGTTTTTGAAGGTGACTCGCACGAAAGTACGCAGAAGGTGCATCATTTGATACTTGCGTTTGATGAGCACTGCACTGCAGAAAACACATAGTTGTTGCAAAAGTGTGCAGACAGTTGAGCGACGTGCGCACGCAAACAAAAAGACCAGAGCTAAGATTCGCTGCCCGAGAGGTCTCGAAGGGTTCACCATTTGGTGGCGAAACTTTGCCCTGTATTCCCCAAAGCTCAATTAGTTCCAGTACTAGGCAAATTATTGTTAAACTGTTGCATTCATTGTATGGACTTCCTAAGAGGCAATTCTGAAACCACTTCCTGTAATGATGTTGTTCTTGTTAGGGCTTGGTTTTGCAAAACCACCCGGACAATGATGGGGATTCTCACTCTGAAGCACTCCGGACCCCACAGGGCACGAGGCACGAGGCGGCGTGAGGCGCTTTGTTCGTCTCAGCCTCTTAAAGGCACCGCTGAACTGCGGCACATTGAACTGGCACATGGCCCCCAACAGGGCTGGTTCCGTTCGAGCATGGTGCCGTCAACTCTTTGATTCGAAGACGCGTCCAGGGAACAACGGGGCACCCTTGAATGGCTTGAAAGGGAGTGGGGTTCCTGGAATATCCACTCTCTTCATGCTGAGCTTGCCAAAAGGAAAGTCACGTTGATGACACGAACGTTTTTTTGAAAAACAAGAGGAATAATGAGAAACTTTGGGAAGCATCCGCAGAGACGGAAGCCAAAGCACATGATTGAATTGGTTGTTCTCCTTGACAGGGATGCAACAAGTTCAGAGTTACTGGGGGGCACATCTGGAGACCCCACCTGTGTTGTGAGGCGTTGCCTCTTGGCAATTAGATGGAAACCCTGCGAGTCAAAGATTGGTTGGGGACTGCCCCCAAAGAGTTGGTGCGGGGGATGGGGTCTTCACCCTTGAAAGGTGTGCGAAGAGCCAAAGGCAATGGCTGTTCAAGGCTTAGATCATAGATCTATGATCTGATGGGACCACGTTCTCATGACCAAGCCAAATGGGGTCCATGTCTTTCACATATATACGCTGCCCTGGAAAGCAACAACAACAAAAGCATTCAAAGGTTCAACACACTTGCCTAGCTGCCAGTGAAGCCGTTCGATGGCACAAAGCACCTTGGATCAGGACCCCTGTCTAGGCTAGGACGGGATCTGAAACGAGCCGGACCGTGCGCACTGCAACCAGGCAAAGACTCCGGGAATCTTTGCCATATTCGTAAAAGCTCCTGGATCAGGATTCACGCTCACAAAGCCTTGGGTTAAGGCCAAGGACCCCATCTCACATCCTTGACCCATGAACAAAACGACAGAACACACTTCGAAGGTGGCCAATTGCGTGGCAGCGATCCGGAGCAAGCCGGCATGTAATGGTATTTTGCAACGTGTCAACTCGTGGGAGAAGGCGCATCTTACGACATTCTATTGTTGAATCTGGCAGGCTCTCAGCTTATCTGCAATTCTCCCGGAGTTGATCACGACAATAGTAGTCTTTGGACCAATGGAACTAGTCCTCCTTTGGAGGAACATAAAGAACAAGTCGACAGCAGTGAGCGCATACTTGCTCTACTTCAAGTCAAGCTGCTCCCTCACCTTTGCTCAGTGAAGACTTCAAAAGACCCCACCCGCCAAACGCCAAATGGCCCAGCCGCGCTGCCGGTGGGGAAATGTGACAGGCGCGTGAGCGGCCGAAGCCAGAGGATTCGTTACGCCACATGCCCTTCGGGTTGAATTCCGAGCACACGGATGGAGCGGAGTTGTTCAACCCATGCAACACATTCAATGATTAAGGAGGCTGGTCCACATTCTCAGCCCCACAAATGCCCTGGCAGAAGCACCTTGGAGGATCCATCCCGAGTAAGCAATCTGTATGTTTCGTTGGGATACGTTGGGTCAAAGCATTAACACCGAACCGAAAGGAAAACAATGTCTTTGCCTTTCTAATCGTGCAAATGCAGCAAGATCCCAGGATGGTTTGTATCCTCCGTCTGCCTTCGCCCTGCTCTCACCGTGCAAAAAAAAACCTCTGCCTGCGGTAGACGAAAGAGCTGGACAAAGGCTGCAGCTGTATCTCCCTCGGACACGGGCGTCGTGTGCGCAGGCAATCGCAGGGTTTCCAACTCCGCGTGCTGCAGCTGAAGCTCCCACTGGAGCCGAAGCAAAGGTGGGAATCTTAACTGGGGGCCTGGGCGGTTGATTCTGCTTGTTTCGGCGCCTTGGATTCTCCGGCGCTTTAATAAAGAGTGCTCAACCGGCCTTCTTCACAAAACCCACTGCATCACTCCGAGGAGTTGTCGCTCTCCACAGCAGCACCTCGAGCGCGAAGATCACTGATGCTGTGGATGGACGAAATCCATGCTGCCTTATGCCGCCTTTTAAAGAGGATACCAAAAACAGGGGCCCTTACTTTTGACAAACCTTCGTGCGTACCATTTCTCAAAAAAGTCGTTTACGGTCTTTTAGCTCCAATCCCTACTGTGGATGGACAAAATCCTGCACCTAAGAACCCTGGAATGATATGATCCCCTGTAAATACCAACAAACAATGGTTTCAACCATGGTGTCTTGGGTGGTGCTGGATTTTGTCCATCCACAGTGGGAAGTGGGTCATGGTGTGCTGGGGCCCCTGGGGGATCCTACTAGTAATGCATAGTGTGGAACCCACTTTGCAGTGCTGACCCTAGCTCCCTCCAAACAGTTTCCTGCGTTGTCGCTTTCGGTCTTGTTCGTTGTGAAACTTCATGTATGTTCAGCTTCTTTGGTCTACTCCTCCCGAGATGTCCTGTCATGCTTAGTTTGTGCCATGACAAATCCAAAGATCAGCCTTTGTCGATAAATTAGTATGAGGGTCCACGTACTTTTCCTGACGCTTTCCTTATGATTGGTATTCTTGAAGACTACTCTTCCGGAGATCTCCTTTCATGCTTCGTATTGGGCCTCAAGAGCCCCTTGGCGGGACTGCTTTGGGCTATCTCTTAACACAGATTGCATAATTCCCCGGACTCACTGTGGCGAGTCGTGCAGTTGGAAAACAACAATTGAGGCGGACGGGTTGACATTGAGAGTCTGCCCGCACTGTTGCGTCAACGTTAGCAAAGCAGATTACCATCGACATGGGAATGCTCATGGTGGCGTTGGGCATCCGCAGCACTGGATATCCCAATGCATTAATTGCTCCACCTAAGCCTGCAGGTCAAGGGGTCTCAAAATTGCATGGCATCCTAAAGAAGTGCCATGCCATCTGATACCATCTGTGAATCAACCCCATTCCGGAGTAAGACTCTTGAACGTGGAGAAAGGGCCACACGTGAACCCGGTCTCTACTACTCAAAATCTGTAAGGATCTTGCTATTTGGTATGTTTGCATAGCACGATCACCGGTTGTCAAAATTGTGAAGCCCTTGTTGGACCTCCTTTCTGCAGCAGGCCATATTTTGAAAGGGGCATGAGTAGCTTGATAAGACGCTTCTGGAAAAGTGCCGAAGTTCCTTCGACTTCAACTCATTTCCTGCTGCTCCTTCAAAGGTTGTTTCCGAGGAGGGGGCAGTTGGCTGATGCAATCGCTGAAGGGGCTTCCTGCGGCTGAGGCTTGGGGTTGAGAAAATCAACTGAGCCGTTGATTCGAAGCGCCGCAATACCGATGCCACAGAACTTCAATCAAAGCGACCGAAAAAAAAAATAAAAAAAAATAAAAAAAAATGGGTATTTAAAGTGACATCCTCAAAATGAATTAATCTAGAGACGAAATGAGGCATGGCATCCTTAAACTGAGGCATGGTGCTAAGAAACTTTGGTCAAACCCCGGACCCAACGTCCAGGCGGCTCTGAATATTCGAAGCGTCCATGCCCAGCAAAGACTTCTTCCGCGTGGCGGTCCTAAGCGGTGCTTCTTTGTTCACCCACTGGCGACACGATCATGCCGATCCCGAGAGGAAACCAGCGTGCCAGAGATTTGTCCAAGGCAAGGACCGCCCTGCGCTGTTTCTCTCCTTCGGTTGATTCGTTTTTCAAGATGGCCAGTGAACAAAGTGCA